CCTGAAACTGGGACCCCTTGAGGTCAGGATTAGCTAATAGGGCAGAGCTGGAATTTGAAACCAGAGTTGTCTTAATTCAGAAGCCTATGTTCTTCTTTTTATTTAAAGAATTATTCATATTATTTATTTAATTTTATTTCTTCTTCTTAGTTCGTGTTCACCAGAGAGAGACAGAGAGAGAGAGGGAAAGTAAGAAAGCAAGCTGACAGATCTGAGACTTGAACCGCGGTCAGCTATGTGGGAGTCCAGTGCCTTAACCACCCTTCATCTGCTGGCCCTGCCTGTGTTCATAATAATTATTATGCACTCCAAATTGGAGTGCATAAATTTTAGGTTTTAAAGGTTTTTTTTTTTTTTTTAAGTTATATCTATTTTTTTGCCTATTAAAAAAAAAGTTTTGTTTATTTATTCCTTCCTTGGGCAGAAGAGACAGAGAGACAGCACCCCTAACAGGGTCTTCATGCCGTAATCCACCCTCACCCCAGCCAGTTTGGGATCATGGGCACCTGCCTGCCTGGTGTATGCAGGTCTCTGATGTGAGCCCAGAACCTTTCCAAGGGCGTCACCCTTGCAGAGCGTTAGTTCTGTGGTGCCACTGTCCAGTCTCTCTTAGGTTCTTTTTGTTAGGTAACAGTAGCTCAAGAATATTTTTCTCAATGAAAATAATTTCAAAAAGTGACAGAAATGTCAAGAATAGAACAAAGAATACCCTTATATTCTTCAGTTCCATCTTGTTAATACGTCGCCATTGTTAGGGTTATTTCATCATCTCTCTGTCTACTTTTTCTCTAAGCCATTTGAAAGTTGTGTGTACCTGTGTCCTTTTAAGTGTGCATTTCCTAAAAATGAGGATACTCCCTTACATCACAATAGTATAGTTATTAACTTAAGAAACTGAACACCAAGATTACAGTTTTATTTAAACTATACACAGCTTCGGTGTACCATCCATCTCCAATTTTGTCATTTTTTTACTGTTTTTTATTTATTTTTTAGAGGATTTTGCCTTAGGGTGCTTGCATTCATCAGAGAGACAGAGAGAGTGAGAGAGAAAGTGAGAAATCACTCCCCAGGGGTATGGTCATGCTGTAGTCCCTTCTCCATTTCCCTTCTGGGATCTTGGGCATGCAGGCACACATGCCTGGCATGAGTTTCAAGGCACCAGGTCTGGGACTTGAACCACAGTTGGCCATGTGGGAGTTGAGCTACCTAACTGCTCTGCCATGTGCTGGTCCCTCAGTTTTGGCATTTTACCCAATATTGTCCCTGATAGGATTGTAACAGATTCATGTATTGAATATGTTCAGGATTCCATATTGTATTTAGTTGTCATAGCTTTTTTATTCCCTTTTACCTTTAGCATTTATATTTATTTTATGACATTGATAGTTCGAAACAATCCATACTTTCCCCCGTTTTTAAAATGAGATTGTTCTCCATGTTGGGTCTGTCTGCTGGTTCCGCATTCCGGTGTGTTATGCGTCCTTGGTCAGAACAGCACATGAGTAATGTGTGTCCTTCTTAGGGTGTCCCCATCTGAAGACACACAGTATTCATTGTCCCTTTTTGGTAATGTTAATTTTGATGATCCATTTCATATATAGTATGTAATATGACATTATATGTTTTACTTATATGTCTATGTGATAAAAGGCCTTAAGAAATTCCATTCAATTTAGTTCATAAAAAAGAGCACTCATACAAATTAATTTAAATACTTCTCTAGTTCATATAACTTAAAATCTTTGAAAAATTAGCCAGTTTTAATAATAAATAAAAATCTTCACAATTTCCAACAAATATAAATAGGAGGCCACTAGGGCCCCCAAATAAGAAGACACGGGGCCGGCCCTGTGGTGTGACGGGGCACTCTCAGCATTCTCTCAGAAAACACAAAACAGTCAAGTCAGTCAAAAGTTTCTAACAAGCCACCAACAATCAAAAATCTCTATAAAACAACCTCAAATAACACAAGACTAAATCTCAACCCCACATTAAACACCACTTGTTGGGACTTGTTTGGCTAAATATGTTTTTTTGAGTGGGGAAGGCTATGGATTAGAAATAAACATAATAATAAATATATAAAGATACGTAAGTATAGAAAAGTGAGGATTGGGTGGGTTTAACCTTTTTGATGAAGAAGTTGTGATTTGGAATTGGCCCCAGGTTTATTTTTTTAAAGGGTAGAAAATGGGGGAAGAGGAAATGGAATGTAAAGTTAGTTTTAGGATGTAAATTGTTTGAAGATGTGAAAATGATTGGTGCTATGTCATTTTTGGATTTTTGGGGGGAGTAAAATTAGATAAATACATGTAGTTTTTTTAGGGGGTTGGCTTTTTTTCACTCAGTATAATTCTCTGCAGATTCATCTATGTTTAATTATATTACTGCAGTTAAATAATAAGACTTAGAATGAAGTACACTGATTAAACTTACTTTAATCTTTTTCAATTTAGTTATTTCAGTTTTAGCTATAATTTTCAGAATAAATGTGTCTATATCTATAACAAAGTCTCTTTGAGATTTTCATAGAAGTTATCTTAACCCTGTATATCAATTTGGGGAGAATTGCTGTCTTTACTGTATCAAGTCTTCCAGTATATGAATGCTCTGTTATTGTGAGCTTCTTTGTTTTTTCCATCAGTATTTCAGTCTTTAGTATGTAAGTCTTGAACATGTTTTATTAGCTTTATACCTAAATATTCCTTTTTTTTGGAGAGATTTTTGCTGTAGGGCACATGTGCTCACCAGAAAGACAGAGAGACAGAAAGCGAGAAATCACCCCCCGGGGGGATGGCCATGCTGCAATCCCTTCTCCTCCATTCTCCTCTCGGGATCTTGGGCACGCACGCACACGCGCCTGGTATGAGTTTAAGCTGCTGGGGCCGGGACTTGAACCGCAGTCGGCTACATGGGAGTCTAGCGACATAGCCATTACACTAACCGCTGGTCCCAATATTCCTCTTTTTAAAAAACATGATAGCCCTCTCTTAAGCAATTTTTTTTCTTTTTCTCTTTTTTTTAAGTTTGTTTCTTCTTCATGGGACAGAGCCAGAGAGAGAGAGAAACAGAGACCAAAGCAGAGAGACAGGCATCCCTAGTAGGATCTTCATACCATGCTCCTTCCCATCTAGCTATCCTGGATCATGGGTGCATCCCTGCCTGGTGTGCTTAGGGAGGTCCTGGGATTTGAACACAGAAACTTTTCTATCTGGATCTAGTTAACATTACACTCTGCCATGCCGTAGCCTCTTTTTTCTCTTTTTTTTCTTTTGAGCAATTGTAAATTGTATTACTGTATTTAAAATTTTGGGGTATACATGTTCATTGCTAGTGTATAGAAATAGGGTTTTTGTGTTTTAATCTTATATCATTTGGCCTTGGTAAACTCGTTTATTGATGGTTTTTGAGGTTAGAGATTTTTGA